ACAAAACGAAGATAAAAATAATATTTGAACAATTAATAAAACTGAGTGTGTCTGAAAGCCTGAATGCTCAGGGTCATCTCAAGGGGTCAGATCTTCCTCAGTACGCATCAAAAGGGCACGGGACGGGAGAAGCCAGACGCTATGCCCACAGCGCATGTGTTGCCTCTGCCCGAAGGAAATACGAAGTAATGCGTTCGAAACTGGGAATCAGTATAATTTTTCCGGTGAGAAATAATCTGTTCGATTAATGTAGTACAAATATCTTTCCTTTCGTTGGAATACGAATTGACAATTAGTTATTTCATACAGTGACGCGCCCAACCGCGTGTTTGGAGATATGGCTGGATCGTATCTTACGTGCACCAAGTCTGCACGTCTTACAAACTTCGTGATTACTGCTTCCCGCGGATACACTTGGCTTTGCTGCCACTGGCCTCTTCCTTGATAACTTTATTCCACCGCGGCATGATGTCACTGAAGCTCAGTGATTTCGGCGTTTTTTAAGCTGCCGATACTTTTCATATGTACTTACCCCCACCGCCGGTGTTGAATCTCTTTCGTAGATTTCGTACATACATCGGTATAGTATGATTTTGATAAAGCTGCCTCTTAATGTCTGTCTTCACAGTGACGTAATGTCACTGCATTTTGCGTCTCGTGCCGCTAAACGTCATGCTATCATGCGACATCGTGCGGCACCACCCAGAAAGTCACAAAATGAAGTGATATAATGCTATTGTGAAGACAGACCTTTAGAAGCAGCATTATAAAAATCGCACTATCATGTTTTTATCGAACTAGGCGCCACTGTTGATATCTATCTACACATGGTATAAAATATAATCTTTATTTATTCTCTGCGACACATCAATATTATTGTGTTGCTCTCTGTCATAGAACATTTTTGCATTTCGATTTCCCTAAATTTTCGAGAAATCTGTCACCTTGTCATCCACTTCTGCGATATTACATATTTCGGGAAAGCACATCCTAGTGATTGGCCACTTCCTGGAAAACCGGGAAAATTAGGGAATTTCATTGTTCTGAAAAGGTACAGAAAAATCAGTGAATTTGTTGAAGAATAGTTGGAAATCGGGGAAAATTTTGGGAGGGTTTTATAAAGACATTATTCTATTCGGTATTACATTAAAAAAACAATTGTGCGCTCAGATATTTTTAAGAACATATTATTTTTTACCTTGTCATAGCGAAAGTGCCAAAGAATTAGTATCAGTGTAGATTTAATATTTTGCCTAAGTAGTGTGAAATTACAAATCTCATCAGGAAAAAATTAAAATGCTCTGGAAAAACAGAAAAGTCAGGGAAACTTGTCCCATGAAACAAGTGACCACTATGTCCTATAGTACCCAGACTTTCAGATTGCAGAAAAAAATTGTACAAATAATAAGCAAATGCCATCTACATGACTTCGGCATGTCTCTTCATTTAGCTTGTATTTTTAAGATTGCTTTGCCTATTTGTTTAAGAATCCGTACATTACCAAAGCCAACTTAGTGGTGGAAACGTTTTAATGGAATACAAATCCAGATATTTATAATTACAACACATATCAGTCACAGAAATAATACTCATTAATGTCAGAATCAGCTCATCCACCCAAAAAATCCACATATAATACATGTACATAAAATTTTTTAAGTTCTAAATATGCCTTTAACAACAAATGTACTACTTAATTACACTTCTGAGTCAATAAACCCCAATCTCTCTCTCTCTCTCTCTCTCTCTTTTTTTTTTTTTTTTTTTTCCAGTTTCTCTAATTCTTTGAGCAGTCTTTGAGTTGTTCATCTGAATTGGTTTTGGTCAAACATTTTACATACTTTTTTTCTTTGCTTTCAGGGCATTTTAAAATTAATTTAAGAGCCTTATATTAATAATTTTTTGGTGATGTTTTAGGTCATCAAAATCCATCCCCTAGTAATAAGGTAAAGGAGATATTTTGGAGCTCAAGAAAATGTGCAAAGATTATACTTCTCTACCATACATCACATTCTGTTTCTTGAAAATAATCTTTAGCTATTGAATTGAATCCTCCCCTTTGATGCTGCTGACATACATAGGGTTTCACCCTCCCCAAATTGGGTTCCATTATGGAGAAATTTTTACTATTAAAATAGGGATTTAAGAGCTTGCAAGGGACTAACTAGTCAGATTTACTTAAATAGTTTATTAGTGAATGACCTTTAGGTATCTTCAATTTTGTGGGTACATAATTTAATACATTGAATTGATTTTAATAGTGTTACTTTATTATTTAGGGATTTAACAGAAAGCAGCAGACCACTGAAGCAACAGTAAGAACCTTGGAAGACTAATAATCTGCCAAGAATACTGTAATAAGCCAATAGAAACAGGCTGTAAAGCAATTTCTGGTTAGTTCAGGAAGATGATGAATAGAAAGATAATAATTTTGAAAAATAATTTATTTTATTGTTTCAACTTGGCAAATATTTGTGTTGGATAGACGTTAAAAATCCTTCGGAATTTTAAAAAATATGCATAATTAAATGAAGTATTTAGTTTGTTTTTAAGCAAATGTAACCAGATATTTGTGTTGATGTTAAAATTAAATTATATTTTCTAATATTTCTAAGCCCCCTTTTTTAAAAATTTTGGACAACCACAATTAAATACTTTTAAATTTATTTCATAACTTTATTTATTGAAATTTGAACTGTACTACCTTCCTCATCAGAAGCTATAATTGAAAATTTATTTACCATTGCATTGCATTGCATTGCATTGCATTGCATTGCATTGTGGAATACCAAGAGTTGCTCATACCCCTGACCACAAAGAATAAATTATGAAGTGTCAAAGTCGTGGCATAAGGTATATCTTGAAGTTCAGCTTGAAGGATTCTTTTCAAGCAACACCTGTATCTGCATCATTTTCATGTGTAGGGTCTTTCACCTGCCAAACACCCACCATGGGAGATCTTGTGCTGATGGTTTCTAGTACAAACAGTCTCAACAGTTTTGTTCACAGATGAGGCAATATTTGGAAGAGATGGAATTACAAATTTCCACCTAAAATGCAATCCTTATGCTTCATTTTAGACATGACATCAACAGTTCAGGATTTATGTTTAGGCTGGAATTGTTGGCGACTGTCCAGTATGTCCGTACCTGGTCCATACATTCTCCTTAAGATCTGTCTATAGGGACTTCATTCAGACTTTCTACATGATGTACCCTTGAAAATAAGACAAAACATGAGGTTTATGCACGATAGAGCGGTCAAGATATAGTCCCATTGTTTGAGATGTACTGGCTGGAAACTACCACGTATGTAGAAGACAAACAGTTCTATGGCCTGCAAGTTCTCCTGACCTTAATTCTTTCAATTTTTATCTCTGAAGACTTAAACAATTGGTTGAAGCAGCAGACATTCCATGTGAAGAAGTGCTTCATCTACATGTCATGGATGTCTGCAAAACCATTCAACATCCAGGAGTATTTGAAAGCTTTCATCAGTTCATGATTCAATGAGTGCATATATGACTACAAACAAGAGGACATTTCGAGCACTTTTAATGAGTATTGTGTTTATAAGTTGTTATGAGTATTCATTGATACACTAAAAACCCCAAAACAAAGAATTGTGGGACACATGTTCATATGAAATTTTTCTCTTTTTGCATAAACAATCCATGCCTGAAGTTTGTAAAATCATTTTTTTTTTACCCTGTGTGTGTTTTTATTTATTTACACTTATAGAAAACAAATAATTTCCAACCCGCAAAAATTCTTTACTCACACTGGGTTTCGAACTTCCTTACTTCGATTATGGTACTTTTTCTTACTTATCCACTACAAAAAAACATCCGAGTTGTCATGCAAACATTCCCACCGCATCAAGTTCAACATCTGCAATTTTCAAATATTCAGGATTTGAAACGAAAACCAGACCTAAAGATCTAAACGTGAAAATACTTTTTTAAGAAAAAACTTCTATATTTTAGTTAAAAAAAGATGATGAATGCAATTTCCAAAAATTAAGAAATTTCTGTGACTACCCCTTTTTTACAGATACACTTCGCTCTATGTGAAGAAAAATGTTTTAAAAAATTGAAGCTATTTTTGAGAAAATTTTGAAAATGTTGAGGTTTTAAGTCAAATACCTATTTTAAATTCAAGGGGGGGAATGACATCAGCCCAATCCTTTTGGGAAAATAAATTTTAATGAAAAACCTGTGAATGGTTTAGATGCCAATGTGATTTACAAAGAGCTGCTATCCCATAAGAAACTTTCCAGTCTCATGGACCTGCAAATTGTAAATTCTGACTACACAACAAATTTGAGTTAGTAATTTACTTCAAGTAGAACCAAGTATTATCCACATTTTCATTAATAGGGACCTACAATACACATTTTTCTGTTGAGAAACTGCCACTTTTTGCTGCTGCAAAACAATACTGTTTCTATACCAGTAAGTAATTTGCAAGAAAATAATAATAAGAAAGGAAAGGGCACTGACCAGCGGACTTCTTGACATTCTGTTGAATAAGAGTATTACCAAGCAAACTAAGAGACAAATATACAAAACAATGGGGGAGATTTGTGATACATATGGATCAAAAAGGATTCAATAAAATCATAGTAAAAGAGTATAATTTTTTGGAGAAAACACTGTCAATATTGCATATCATTTGATAGAACACATAACTAAGAAATTTAACACACAATGAAAGTGACAAGTGTTAGAGACTGTAGATATTCTTTAAAACTAATTATTAAATTTATTTTCAAATTATTTATTTTGAATGAAAATCAACTATTGCGAGTTCGCTTTCACAGTGGAAAAGTGTGTACACAAAGTGATAGGAGGTTGATGTGTATCTCAAAGAATATGGGCACCTGACAGACACAGCTTATTCCACAAGCATCAAGTTGAAAACAATAAAAGCTTGTTCCCTCAGGATGGGTATCTTGAGGATAGGAAAAAAACTTCATATTAATATGTTAATGCAAATACAGTTTTGGTGGTCTACTAATTTATTTTCTTCTAAAATTACGGAAACTGGACACAATTTTACAATTTATGATCTTAATTATTCTAATGATATTCAGAAGTTACGCTGTAAGTGTATTTTGGAACATTAATCTCTCTTAGAAAAATAGACTCGAGTTTAACACATTTACCTCACAGTAAATAAACAAAATACACCATAACATTAAAAAAGACTGTGATTTTGAGGCATTTGAAACTTTTTTCTTCTTTCTTTTTGAAATCGATAAAGGTCAAGAGGAGAATACATGAAAGAGAAAGAAAGGTAATGAAAAGAATGATAATATTGATACTAATAGTAAATAAAATCTTTGTATCGATATTAAAGAAGTAATTGTATATGATAGTAGCTGTACAACAGGTCACAACCTATAAAATAGAGAATATTTGTCTACTTGCAGGATAAATCTAAAGCATTTCAAAATTGAGGATTCAATCTCTGTAACTGGATATTAAGTAGTATAATTATAATTTCTTTTTGTGAAACATTACTAACTTCTGAAAAAGTTTATTATGATCTTTCACTTTTATGAAGTTTTCAATCTTACGAGTATTACACTGATAAAATATTTACTTCTCCGAATCAATACAAAATTTGGGGACAAATAAGACAAAGAGCTTTTATCAAAATATTTTGAAAAATTAATCCAATGTCTCAAAATAAAATTATTATAATTACTAAGCACATCAGTTCTTGTCCCACAATTCACTATAGTTGAGTGAAATTCAAATGTTGATATTATGTACTACAGTTGACTCCGGTTATAGTGAACTTTTGGAGATTAACGTTTTTGGTTCACTATATCCAATGATATCATATTAACAAGAATTTCTCCACACTGAGTGATTTAATAAATATAGAGATACAGCAAAATACGTTAACAGCATACATTAACTGAAAATTTTAATATCTTTATTTGTCCTTAAAAAAGCAATTACTTTCAATTGCTAGATCCATACATTTTTCATTCGTAATGTCTTTAGATCCTTCTCCAGAGTTTGTGCTCTCTCCATAATTGATTATACATTGTCCGAGTATCCGATATGTCTTAGTATCGAAATGCAATCTTGACATACTTCAATGCTTCTTCCACTGATCCTACTTTCCGAAGGCCCTTTTACTCGTCTAATAACATACAAGATCCTTTCAGTAGTGGCATGGCGAAAGCGGCAAATGAAACTGATCGCTGAATGAAACATCGTTTGCTGTCTCTAAGCATCGTAATGCAGTCTTGACATCCTTCCCTTGCACCGTTGGAAGTTTCCCTCTTCAATGGGCATATAAGATCATACGAGATCTTTTCAATAGCGGGATGGTGCAAGCAGCTTATGAAACTGTTCACACACATCACAGCAGGTATCACCAGGCAGAGGGGCTGTGGCTGTCACATGCTTCCTGTCGCCCACGTATAACACAACACACTTTATCCTGCAGAATATCAAGTAACATCAAGTTTAAAAAGCAAGCAATCATGTGTCACCACGATTACCACACAGGACACAGGCTTTGTTTCTGCAGAGAAACTGATGTGAGTGGCATGAGGTCATCAGTAAGGTCCCATTCCAGGTTCACTACCTTCATATGAGGGGAGACTTCTTCGATTACGACCTTTGGCAGATATTTTTTCAAGCTGTCTAGTGTTGGAATTTGTGGCACTGAGGTGATATCAGAACAGAATTACTTTCCAGGTTGTTGTATTTTCTATAATGAGGCTTAGGTTCAATATAACGAAATCTTCTTTTACTTATCTGTAATGTAAGTGACACGGGACCAGTGACTTAAATTCACTATAACCAGAGTTGACTGTATTTAGAAATTATTGGGGTGCCCATAGTAGGGGGGAAGCAGTGTTTGTATGTACGTATGTATTTGTGTGTGGGTGTGTAAGCGCGCATGGGCCTAAGGCACACCCATGAACATTTTTCTTGGAGAAAGCAAAATAAATTTCTTGAATACAAAAGTGAGACATTTGTTTCAGTGTTTAATGAGCAACTCTTGAAAATATAGGTTAACAGGAAGGGGAAAAGTGAAAAGTGAGACTAGGAGCAACAAATATTTCCTACAAAAATGCTTACAAATTTCTTGCTGAGATAAGGAAGAATGGAGGGCTTACATAATTAATTCAATTCAAAAGGGAATATTGTGCATCCACAGTATTTCATAGTAAAGAACTCACACACATTGTATCCTATTTCTCCTGAAAATTAGATCACCAGTATTCTCAAGATTTCAAAAATGAGTAAAAAGGATCTAAGGATTTTATAAATGTCAAATAATAAATTGAATATTGTTGTTTAGGCCATAGCTTATTGAATATTTTCTTTTGATTATTTACATTTCTGAAGTTCAGGTATCACTGGAAGTTCTATTTCCACATGTTTATACATCTCTATGGGAAGCTAGAAAACATTTTATAAGAGCACAACATTCATTCCTTTGATTTTCAAACGTGGACTTCAACACATTTAGGCACATCATCTACAACCAGTGACACAAGGCAGATTAGAGCATCAATGCAACACTGAAGTAAAAATTATTTTAGCCTTTTAAGTAGATTTTCCCTCCCAACAGCTTTAACATCTTTCAATTTTAACACATTTGTCTGCCACTGACTAACATTGAACACTTTCATGAGACTCATAAAAATACCATTTTGGAGGCAACTCCTTAACAAAGACTGTATTTCATTTGACACTACTTATTGCTGATATGGAATACTTAGACAGGGTTGCACAGCATTTTTTATGAAACATGCCCTGGCTTGGGAAAGAAATGCACTCATCTAATGGTATGTTCAAATCTGTAAGTTGTGTGTTTAAATAAATAACTTATTTCTTAAATCATTTGGAATTCCCACTCAACATATCTGGTCTACACAAACATTTGGTTTAAAAACTGTGATATTTACTTGTTTCCCAATTGATCAAAATTGCAATTGCATTACAATTTTGTAATGTTAAGAGTTCTGCAAAGGGCAAGCAGTTTTCTGCATGTGAGGAGCAAAATATCTCCTTTAATCTTACATTTCCTTGCTAGTGTCTTGGGTAAGATGTAAAAAATGAGTACAGAAGAACATCTTCCTTTGCTTATTTTAATAAAAGATTTATCTCAGCATAAAAAAAGGTGAACATTATTTGTTTTATGACCAAAGGTACAAAACACTTAACTGCACTGTGAAAGAGGACTCATGAAACAGAAATATCACTTTGTATCTAAAAATGTTGGTTCAACAGTTTTGTGCACCACCACCTTTGGACTATCAGTTAACATGAACATCAATTACAACTACTTCAATATAGGTTACATTTAAATTAATTTCTACAAAATCGGATCATTCTGAGACACACCGAATAATACTGACAAATGTGGATGGATGGGTTTTATAGCACATAGAATACATGAATTACTCTCACAGAAAATAGGCACCAAGTAAGCAATGTAACTAAGAAATTTACTTCCATCTTCATAAATAAAATAAAGTTAAAAATTTCCAAACTTAACTGATAGATTTGTTTTTCACTGTTCACTTACTTTCACAGTTCCCCGCTTAATCAAAAACAATATTTACTCATCACAAAATTCATCAACAAGAGTAATTGATAGTCTTGAAAAAGCACAAAAATTGTCCAAATTTCATTCACACCACTGGAAACAATTTCTCCCATCATTTACATAATTTCCACCAGCATTTTAGAATGGATGTGTTCTTAAATATTTTATGACTTGTTTCTCATCATAAGGATCACTTCACATTTTTCAGAGAAACAACATGCAATGCCATCATATGATTTAGTTCCTAAAATTACATATGATATGCACTTTAACTAAAAGAATTGTAAACATACAATAAAATTACACGTGTTGTAATTCTTTTGTAATTTATTTCCACCTATTCTCAAAAACAATTTAAAAACTTCAAACTCAAATGAATATGTTTTAATTTTACATTTGAAATAAAGAACTCACGTACACCAAATATTTCACTTTATATTTTAAAGCTTTCAACCATACAAAAAAATTTTTTTGGGCATTTAAATCTCCCCATGGAAATGTGTCATCTAGTGGGATTTTGACGATCACAGTGCTGGTTAATATACGAGATGGTGCTCACAACATAATGCCTTTCCAGCAATAGAGGTGAAATATATACTAAATTTATCACAACCAGCAACTAAATCCAGAAGACAGGGAGTTAGGCCAAGTAGCTGTATGTATCTCTCTCTCCTTCTGTACGCTCAAGATATTCCTTCTCTATCAAGATATTTATACATTTCTTTATAACATTCACTCGAGGCTTGAATCTGGATGACAGCTGATTCAAAACCTCAGCTACAAGTTGTTGATGTTTTAATACTTTCCTCATCTTCATGATTCTAACAATTGCAGCTTGGATGAGGAGTTTACGGTCCTCTTCTACATGTTTCAGTGTAGTTTCTTGTTCTATCTTCTGTTCCGTTTTTATAGGAATATTGATGTTTACTCTTAACTTCTTGTTACGATAGCCAGTAAAAAGCTGAAGACTTGAATCAGCATTCAAATCATTCTCATCATCTTCAGATTGAAGTAACTTAGCTTTGACTAGAATCTGCAAAACTTGAATAAGGAAATCAAGTTTTATTTGAGTTGATTCATGCAATTGCTGTACTGTCCACACTTCACTGACATTATATTGAAGAAGCACTGCCATCTGGAATGTTGAAGCTTGCAGGGTGTATCGGTTTTTGAAGCAGTTGGTAATAAGTTCACCTTTTGACATGTTGTAAAGCCAACTAAGCTTGCGACCACTGTGTTGACCACTATAAAAAGTGGTGAAACGATTAACACTTCTTTCTAGCTCAGCTGGAAGGGAAAATGCAATTGAATGTTGAAAGGGCCAAGAACCAGATGACAACACTTGAATGCTGAAATCTATGTCCAAAGGCTCGTTAGAATTAACTAGATGTTTCCTAAATGCTTCATTCAGATCTTTGGACACTCCAATATCTTGGAACATACGTTGAAGTTTAGAGGTGTACTCAAATCCACAAGCTCCTTTGAGTTTTGAAATCATAGATGATTCAGCATCATCACTCGCAGACATCTGCTGCACAAGCCTCTTAGCAAGCATTTTGCTGTAAAATTTCTGAAATACATCCTTGTCTTCAATGTATTTAAATACAATCATTACTTGATTTAAAGTGTCTTCAAGCTCCCCTTCTTCAGGATTTTTACTACTCTTTTTCAGAAGGAGATCACAGTACTTGGCCAAAAGCTCAGGTGATTTAGTTGAACTGTCCGCTTGGCGAGTAACAGCGTTACTGTTGATGAAACGTCCGCAAGCTTTATCCAGTGCTGCCACAAATCCTGAATCATTGTGAAATGCAGTCAAGATGAGGGCATTGTATTTCTTATGCACCTCTAAAATAGTATTGACATACATTTTTGGATCATTACTGGCTCCTTCACCACATTTATCCACAGCAGCAAGACCTTGAGTTGCAATGTGCGATTCTAAAAGATTTCTTAATTCACTCAATCCATCAGGAATACGAGAGACAAGTTGATACATGCGGCCCAGATCATCATTTTTATCTGCATCTAGAAGATTTTGAAATTCTGCATGGAATATCTCTAGGTGCTTGCGAATCAACACTTTCTCACAGGTCTGATTCAGAGGGTCCAGGGTGGTCTCGTGTAAATACACCTGCACTCTCTTCTGTTCTTCAAGCAGTCTTTGCTCTGCTTTTTTCATATATTCTGTTACAGGATTCTGTCGTAGGAATTCAGTGCTCTCACAAGTGTAGAATCTTTCGGTGTCCTCCATAAAAACATTCTCAAACGAGTCCTTGTACAACTGCAAATTTTGACACTTGGCTCCAGGATCTTCCTCATTCAAACTTAACTCTACATAACAATTAATAACACCGCTCACTAGCCTTGTATTTATTGTCTCTCCATTACGTTCTCTCTCAATGAGCTTGAGGACAGCATTTGTAACTTGGCGATTCAACAACTTAAACAGATTGTCACGCCACGTGACAAGCGATAGTTGGTAAATCTCATAAATGCCTTTACGCCCTTCCTCACATTCTCGACGTACCCAATGTCTGTTAAGGTAAGCACAGACTCCATTCAAAACTTTAGAACTAAACTGATATTCTTCCCACTGTTTAGTGTAAAATTGTAGAACATCTTCATCCATCAACTCTACCCCATCTTTAACTAGAGTAAACAGATAATTCCTTAAGAAATCTCTCAGCTTTTTATACAACTCGAGGCCCACTAATTGGGCTCCTCCAGTAACCTGTCCCTTCTTTAATCTAGTTCCTGATGAGGAACCACTTCCCTGTTGATGGACACTTGTACAGTAGTTGTAAACATGGGTGTAGAGTTCCATGTACCGCTGACGTGTCATACCCCGACGGCTATAGATTTGTTCAATGCCCTCCTGTAGATCTCCCCATATTTGGCCCAAATCAATTTGCCGAGGAGCAGGAGAGTGACCTCTGTTTCTTGTTCCACTCATTTTGGTTTGGATAGGGGTGACAGCTATGTCCTCACGACTCAACTGCTTCAAAAACCTGAAAAGACAATTCAGAGATTATAGCTTAAACATTAAAAATATTTGCATAAATCTACAATTCCAATAACTTTTTAAACCAATAAAAAATATCCACCACATGCCAACTTTACTTCATCAATAAATTTGTAGATGCACCTTGTTTCTTAGCATTCATAACTGACAATCTTATGGTTAAAAGCACCTATAGGGCCATTGTGTGTAAAATTTATTTGGAAACAATTTAGCCTTTTTTTTAAAGTAAACTTTCATTTTCTCATAGCAAGTCAATCACTTATAATTAATCTTTAACACCATTAAATTTTGGTGCAAAATTATATTCTATCTAAAATTTCTCAATGTGCCAAGTCTATTATCTGGAGAAGTAACACCAGATTTCATCAAATCACGTACACTTTTCTCTTTTTGTTTGGTTTATTTATTATTTAATTACTTTGGTTAACCAATTCCAACACCCCTTACTTATGACATACTTCTAGAATTTTAAAATTCTATTCATTATGAAATGAAAAGTGTGATAAATTGAAAGCAGCATTGGAAGCTTTAGGAATCAAAATGTCCCCCAGACATTAGGTTGTGCTCTGCCGAGGACCACTACAAAAAAGTTTTAGGAAATATTAATCAATTGGAACCCATTACTACAAATATATGAAAACCTAAATGTTACCCTTATGTTTAAAAGCATATAACTATGTTATATATATATACACTCAATACATGTTAAGAACCTTGTACGATGTACAAATACCACAAAATACACCTTGTAAAAGGGATGATAAATTCTGTCAAGTTATGACAAATCTTAAGATGGTCATTAGAAAAATTTACAGTAATTGTTTTTGTGGTTGGACAAATAAAGTTTACAAAAATTACAAGAATCTAATAATCGATTCCCTGCAGGAGTTTTCAGTATCAACCTCTTCTCGCGTGATTAACTTTGCTTTAGTTTTATATCAAAAATATATCAAACACGTTCATTATATTACCTTAAATTTTGTACCACAACTTTTCATACACATTACATTGAAGAGCCTTAAACCGTGTTACAAACATTTTTTTTTTAAATAGTGGAAAATCACATACTTGTTAACAAATAGTGTTACATAAATGCCAAAAATACTTCTTTTTGCATAATTCACATGAAAGAGACAGTGAAATGGCAAATTTATTGCAACTTTCTTTGGAATACAAGATTTCATATTTCATACAAATTAATATTTAAAACAAATACAAAGATAACACAGAAACACTTGAATCTTTAATACTTGAAGCACTAGATGACAGAATTGACACAATTTTCTTATCAAACATTTTTCCTAATCTAATGAACTATGATTACAAACCAAAATCATTTGGTGATCTACACAAATACAATACAAAATCCATAACCCACGTTTCTGACAAGGTAGCATTTGACCTACTTTTGGCCTGTGGAAAACAGGTACTAGATAACCATGGATTGAGGTTATGATCCACAAAAGCAATAAACTCTGGAAATGAGTTCAATTGTATTGATAAATAGTATGCGTTAAAACAAAAACCTACAAATCATCAAGTAATCACTGAAAAGAATTTGCACTTTACCTCACTCTATTGTTCCATCCATATTGGCAGTGGTAGGTGACAAATGCTCTCTGGAGAACATTTTCTCACGTTTCATTAAATCTCTTAAAAGTTACGAGTTAAGAAGATATAAATCATGCTAGGAATCTAATAATAACCAGAACTAATCGAATGAAACGAACCTAAATGAACAAGAACGGACACTTCCTGATAGTGTTCAAGAAAAGTGTGTCACATATCCAGAACTAAAGGAATGATACACTCACACTTACTTATATAACTCGGTCAACAATGGAAGTTTGCGTTTCTAAACGCTCTTCTTTCACCAAATTCCGCATTGAAATACGCAAGATTAGGTTTCAGCAATCGTGACGTCGCAGGACGCACTTCACTTTCCATTTACATTCTTGTATGGGCGCGAAACATTTTGGTGCAACTGCGGTCCTTTGTTACAATTTTACACCCATGTACTTCCAATACCCAGCACAAACGTAGCAGTAGAATCAACCAGCCCCCACCAACACACAGGCAATGCACAATTCTCGTGAAATTGTTCTAATCAACGGAGGTTTGGTGAAGTAAAGACGTTTCGTCACTCCAGTTTGGTATTTCGCAGGTTTGACAACACAACTATTACGTACAATAGGAAGTAGAGGTAGAAGTTTTAATAATTAACTTCTAAGCAACTTAAATTTCTGGATTGATTATCTGTTCACTATTAATAAGAACTTTTTTAAGTTTTGAGACAACCTAATATCAATTTACCTGCCTGAATAGCTAATAGCTTCGTCAACATTACAAACACAATTACCAAGATGGGTTTAGATAGTCATCTCTGCAAACAATTACATCCCGTTCCGTTAGTTCTAACTTAAATAATTTTTTAAAAAGAAATTACGAAATCTCCGAGGGTTGCTTTTTTTCTTATTTTTGTTTTTACTCTGAAGTTTCGTCAGTGAACTTCAATCAAACCCGATTTATCGTTAATTACTTTTGAAAATTTGTAAACTAGAGTTAATGTAAATACAGTGATGCAAATTTAAATGAAGTTACATTGGAAACAATAGAGTATAACTCTAATGTTATTATGATCGTGGGGAAACTCTGTAATACGTGGAATAGTAGAACCTACATAACCACTCCCATAGATGCACGAAAAATTCAAAATTTTAAAAATCAGTATTTAATCTTACTTAATGCTTTAACAATTGCACCAGTTAAACAAACGTGAAAAATATTTACATTTATTGGGAAAGAAGGAGAAATTTTGTTCAAATTAAAAATTTCTTTTCATAAAAACTCTGGAAAGTTTCTAATATTGTGAAATAAGATCAATTAGAAAGAAATACTTTTATTTTTATTTATTTAAATCAGTATGTAATTTTATTGCCATTTGTATGTGGGATATTATAATAATTTAGTATTTCAGCCAATAAGAATGAAATTTAAATAATATTTTTGTTAACATAATTTTTTTATTTCAGAGATAAGCAAAATCTGGAGTTCAGCTGACCAACAAATTACAAATTTATAATTACAATAGTTGTAAGTGACAATGAAATGCAAGTAAACACAAATAATTTCACACAAATGATTTTTTTAAATCCGGACATTGTTCTTGTTAAACTAAAAGGCGCAGAAATTATAAGAAAATATAGTACAGTGATTTCAACATAAACTGTCCGTTAAAATCAAATTATGAAATATTATTCAAAAATTTACTTGAATCTTTCAACTTACAAACTTGTATAAATGAAACTACCAGAATATCTAAGAAAAGTAGTATCACCATTAACTAATAATAGACAAATGTTTGCAGCTTGTCAGTAGTTACATTCAACACTGGTTTTAGTGACCACACACACCAAATTCTCAAGCTTGAAACAGATACAAATAGGAAACATATTATAGAGAATCCCAAAACTTCTCTCAAGATAAAACAGACAAGTTTAAGTTCCTCAGAGGTGCAGAAAACTAGGACAAGTCATACAAGACAACATAAAAGCCAACTTTATCTTGTTTGTAAAAATATTCCAATGTCACTTCAGTACTGTATTTCCACAGCAACTTATGAAAATAAAAAAGCAAAAAATACAAATGCTAGGTAACCAAAGAAATTAAAATACCATGTGAAAGGAATCGTAAATATGCGAGAAACTATACTTCTTTACAAACGTAGTTCTGATTTCATTGCCTTCTACAAAATATTCAGTATAATTAAACAAGCCAAACTATTAATGAATGATAAAAACACAACCAAAGTACAAACAGAACAAAAGCAGTGTGATACATTGTAAAAAACACGTAAAAACCAAAACACCTATACCATTGAACTTCACACGGAAAATAATGTTTTGCACAAAACTGAAAGTATAAACAAAAAAAATCCAATAAGCATTTCTCAGAAATTGGAGAAAAATTAATACTTACATCAAAACACTTTAAATATAATAAATATTCAAATAGCCACACATTCATTGAACAAATGCTAACTCAATGAATATAATTGAAACAGCACCCTCCAAAATTCTAAAAACGATAAATAAAATAAAAAAGCAAATTCTCTGCAGGACTGATTAATTTTCCTGAGTAAACCCTCAGTAAACGTTCTGCAACATACATAATAGTAAGTTACCACTCACTCACATTTGTAATCACTACTTAATGACTAAAGTCTTCTCAAAAAAACTCAAAATGTGAATTTTTAGCGACTTCAAGAAAGACAACATTCATGATCTCATAAATTATAGGCAAGTATCCTTACTCTCTGGTCTTTAAAAAGTCTTAGACAAACTTTTTAATGATAGACTCAAACATTTTCTCAATTCAAACAACATTGACAGAAGCCCAATATGGATTATGATATGGCAGATTTTGAGACACCTCTACCTTTCTTGATGCTCTAGATAAAAAAAAAAAAAAAAAAACCATTGGTTTGTTTTTAGATTTATCAAAAGCATTCAACATTATTGACCATCACATTCTGTAATCAAAACTTGAAACCTAGGGAATTACATGAATTGCATATCAATGAGTTACATCTTATATTTCAAATCATTGTCAAGTAGTCACAATGAAACATATTAGAAAGAGAAAGATTACCTCACATTTTTCTAGCCAAGAATGATAAATTATGGAGTACCACAAGGGTCAATCCTAGGACTAATAGGTACCATTTGTTTTATACATCAATGACGCCTCTGACTCAACAAAATAGTAATTATCATGGAAGCAAATAGTCAAAATATCAATGAAGAAACAACAAACGACGAACAAAATGTTTTAGAACAAAGAGAACAGAGGCATTAGTAAATCGTTTCCAAGAAAATAAATTCATCATAAACCCTTATAAAACTGTCTCCCTAAACCTATGGAATCCGCTCTCCGCAGAAAAGCATCCAGCATAATTAGACTTTTTTTCTTTCTTGTAATTTGTTGCGCCATTCTCGCAACTCATCTCTGATCCCTTCTTGGGTACTGAACATATACAATATATCAAGAGTAAACTTCCGTTACCTTTTTATCTTTTGTCTCATCCCGCCGTCAGTTAATGCCTTTTTTCTCCCTTTGGCCAGGGAATCAAAAAGCCTGGAAAATTATCCCAAAAAACAACCTTCCTTGGATTGACTAATTACATCAAGATTACCTAAAATGAAACCCTCGTATTACAGATTTAAATAACGAGCTTCCCAAGTCACGTTATACTACTTTATTAAGTCAAATTCCAAGTTGGATACAGTACGGACTTTGCACATGTTAATTCACATCTAAAATACGAAATCATATTGTAACGAAATTCCCCAGGAAGTATAAACACTTTCATCATCCCAAAACTAATACTGACTAAAATAACAAACACTCAAGTGTGAGTCCTACAAACTACTAATAAAAAAAATTACAAAATCTACCAGGCCCATGCATAGTTCAACTCAAATAGTTATCTCCACAAAGAGCCATAAGAGAAACAAGGATTCTATTACTGTCCTAAACGAAGAAGATTATTATTATTATTATTATTATTATTATTATTATTATTATTATTATTATTATTATTATTATGATGATGATGATATGGATGTCTAGTGCTATATTTATATGACAATTTTAAAAAAATCTGGGTATTCTCTACGGAAAAAAACATTTTGCACGGTCAATGATGAAGTTCGATCATCTCGTGTGTGAGACTCCCACTTAGCAAAAATGCTCTTCTCTTGCCCCTGGATCTCTCCAAGGACTAGTTCCTGGAGACACGGGCAGGTAGCTGGGCTTCAAGTTACGAAGAGAGCCGTTATTCTTTTCTTTTCATGATGGACAGAAACTCACTCTTTATTTGATTTTAGCATAAGCGGTACCATATTTTATGGAGAAATGCCCATGTCTAAAGTTCGTTCAGTCTTCGAGTGTCTCATGCTACGCACACAAATATTGTACATATGATACCATCTTTATAACCAAAAAATTCACACGGGATCGTTTACCCCTTTAAATAAGATTTAAAACAGTCGTGTCCGGAGAGCACTTGTGAAAGGTCTTAATTTACCTCACCATCACGTCTGTTGAACCACGGTTCGATATGCGGTAACATTTGGTGAGCCCACCTTCCTTTGGTGTCTATTTCACATCCCTTGCTATTCTGCCAGGAGAAACGTTCAGGTACTCTTCTTGATGACCTGCGTAAAAGTTCGTAAATGAGGTCAGTGAGCTTCTATAACTCCGTCATACACTGCTGTCTTTTCTCTCGCCAACAGATTTTTAGCGGTATACTAGCTAGAACATCTAATGTGTCAAAGACCGTGCGATAAGCTGACACTATTCGCACAGTCAGCATCAACTTCCTCTGTGCTAATCCATACTTCAATTTCACGCAAGTATACCCGAGTTTGTCAGCCCCTACTGCGGTCGTAAACGGCATTTGGGAATGAACTGCTCAAGAGCTACGTTTCGTCTTTCTCGGACCTCCCACATTTTGGCATTGAAGTCTGGCTTTGTAGCGTTGTCTTCAGTCTTATTATCGGGGGGGTCCAAAGCTAAGCTTGTGGTCTATCTCAACTCCCAAATAAGTTATTTGTAGTCCCCTAAATGTTCACGTCCACCAGGGAAATGATTGGGGATCAGAATGCTCTCCGGGGCGTTACAAATAGTGCTTCAGTCTCCTGTCAAGGCACTCTTTCACACTAAAAGGGGTTTCGTTCATTTCCATCTCCAGCAAGTCGATATTTTTGCTACAGCAGATTATGAGTATCATCTGCGTAAAAGTTGGACATCTAATGGGGTGTCAACGTGTCGCAGGTAGTCATTCATGGTATTCCATAAGAATAAACTGAGCCTAGAACCTTGGGGCACACCAAAGTTCTTCAAATTTTTAATCGTGAATGTGTCCGTGCTGACTAATTCTCTGGTTAAAGTGATCTTCGATCATTCTCAAGAGGTATTCCGAGACGTACTTATGTAACAGAGCCTCAATGATATTGTTCTGTCGCACTCACTGCAACGGCTCCACTGTACACTGCACAGCCGCTACCCACGAACTGAACCGCCTGCCAACAGCTCCCACTACTGTCCGGCCTCCGATACCGCCTATAGAAGCACATGCCACACTGCACGATATGCGGACACAACATTCTTCCAAATCTAGCAAGGCCTATCCCTTTTAGTTATTCATATTCTGCTCCACCACTCCACTACACCCTACCTACTCTATGAGTAGAGATGGCAGCCTTCTGGTCCTCTCCGAGGGAGGGGCACGGAGCGGTGGGAAGTATGCGGGGACAGGGGGGAGGGGCGATACGGGGACAGAGAAGACATTGTGAAGTAGAGGAAGGGAGGAAGAAGGAAAAATGTGTAACTTTTTCTGTCCCAAATCACGTTTTCTGTTCCATCGGACAGATGGTTGACGGAGTATTCGCTGTGAAACGTCTGAACGCAAACACCCTGCAATAATCGGCAGACGGGAGCGTGGTGTGGGGAATGTTTTCGTGCCATTCACCGGGTGATCTCATTCTGGAAGGCACAATGGATCAACAGAAATATGCAGCCTCAATGGAGACCATATCCACCCATATATATACAGATCGCTTTTCCTCAGCAAGGGAATGTCTCGTCTCATACAGCTCGCTGTGTGTTGGTTCGAAGAGTGCCAGGATGTTTCCTCTTCTGGCCACCAAATTCCATCGATTTAAACCCAGTCGAGGGTCAGTGGAACCCATCTCGATCGGGCTTTTCGCGCCATGGATTCGCAACCCACGAATCTATTGCAGATGGCCTTGGCACGAGTTGACATGACTCCACATCCGTGTCGGTACCATCTAGTTTCTAGAACCTAATTGACTCTGTATCTGGTCTTACAGCAGTCAACACTGCGAAAGGGAGTTATTTAGGATTCAGTTGGGCGGTCACAGTAATGTGACTGGGTAGTACATAAGGGTGCTTTATTGAAATAATGAGGTTTCACTGTGAGGGACATGCAGATTTCTTTTTTATCTTGTACCATAATTATGAACTTCTGTCTTTAGAGTAATAGAATGCTTGTTTCTCATATGACTCTTCTTTGTAAAGATAACTACCTATTTCAATTATGTAAGGGAGTGATAGGATTTGTAATTTTTGGAAGAGTGGTTTACTAATGCTTGAGTGTCATGTTTTCAATGTTTTGGTTGATGAAAGTGCAAATTCTTGGGGAGAATTTCCTCAGAATATGATTCCTTACTTTATACGAGAACAAAGATTTGCAAAGTACACTGTTCGTAATGAAAGTTAGAATTTGACTTCAGGATGTAAATGGTGTAACACGACTTGGTAAACTTGTTATTTAGATCTGTAATGTGAGGGTTCCGTGATCTGGATACAGTCAAATCAAGAAAGGTTGATTTGGGGACTATTTTTACTGGTATGGTTTTAAAGTCGAATTGTGCTGGTGGCTTTTCTGTAGAGAGCGAATTCCTGAAGATTAGGGTGACAGTTTTACTGGTGTTCATGAGTTTGTTTTCTTGGAACCATTTTACTAGTTCCTCTAAAATAATTCGTTCTTTTTGTAGTGTGTTGGTAAATTTCTTGGATGGTTACTATTTGCTTTAATGAAAATTAGTATTTTGTTATTTTGTAGTTTGAGGCATGTCGATGTGTAAAACAATTAGTAAAAGTCATAGGAACACCATAAAGGCTTATTTTTTGTCCTTTTGAATTCGTATGGAACAATGTCTGTTCTTAAAGAATAATTGCAAAAAAAGATGTGTTAGAGAACAGTTCAACTTATATGAAGCATGCTTGACAGTTAGATAATAAAATCTGGAATATTGTCTAGTCCAGCGGATAATTTATTTTCCATTATGAAATTTTCAATGTGTTGTTTCATACAAAAATATGGAACTGATGTGTTTGTTGCATTAGTTTGTTTGGCTATTTTTTTTTTTTGGTGAGCATTGAGAGATTTAGTAGCATCTATTTTATGTAGTAGTATTTATTTTCTAGTTGGTAGTTTACTTTTGTATTTAAGTTCTTCATTTTCCCTCTTATGAGTTGGTGCTGTAGTCTTTTTAATGATGTGTCCTATAGCTTTGTGTGGGTATGATAAGGTTTGAGGATGGAATTGTATATTTTTTAGTAGGTCAGTTTCATATTATGTATTGGTATTGTGTAAATTTTGCATGTTCATTCTCATGACATTTTAATGCGTTTGTTAACCATGATCTACTTTTCTTAGACTGCAAGCAGCAGCGCGGTGAAAATTTGCTACCTGACATTTTCTTGGAAATAATGTTATTCTATGTCTTTTCTCTTGCAAAGAAGGTGAATTGTTTCCTGGTGAACATACTATATTCAGATGTATAATTTTATCAATTAATATTTAGATGAATTACTTGGAAAACTGAAAATTTGTAAGATTGACAAAATTGCATATACAAAATAATGTGTGAATAATATTACTCTACATATTGTCCAACATATTTTCATTAATAATTTGAAAAAATGCTTCTGTTTCTGATTCAGCACTGTTAACACTACCTTTGGGTCCAGGGAGAATTTTTATTACGTTCTTTTGACTAATCTTCGAAGACATTTTTTGAAAGGCATTATCCTCCATTTAGTCATATCTCTTCCAACAAAACAATTTTCTTCCCCTTCAAGATCATACACCACATCAGAAATATTTTCTCCGTCAATCTAGTAAGTTGAATCGTGATATGTATCATCATTATTCATGTGTACATCCACCTCACCCTCAGAGAAAGATTAATTTGACAGGAAAACATCTAATTTTTCTTCTATTTTCTGAGGTTTCAAGAATTTCCTTGTTCTCAAAGATCTAGTTGATAATGCCAAAGACTCACTTTGAAATGTAAATACAGATACAACTAACGTATGTATCTTACTTATCATGATTTGAGAGTGAAACACGCAGCAAGAAAATATTCCTTTCTGACCGGCAGCACAGAGCAAATCTGCTCTGACCTCACAGTCTTGCAGACTGCTGGTAACTGATAAGGGTACCAATGTTATAAACCATTTTATCCTCTTCCTGGAGTGTCACCCAAAAAATACTACAAGCCACGTCTTCCTGGAAGGGATATAGCCGAACATACTCAGAAAAATATTTTAGTGGTACCAAATCTGCACCAGTGCTGCCGAGGGTTGAAGATTTTGTGGAAAAGAGGCAATGGATATCTTAGGCAGTTTAAGTTAATTGAACTTAGTAAGTGAAGTTTGCCATTTGGATCAGTTGCCTTCTATATTTGTTCAAATTTTTCAAACTGAGAAAATTGTAGAATTTTATTGTTTCTGAAATTTTATTATTATTATTGAAATGGATGTGGGTTTCTTGATGAATAGCTCATTTGAAATTTCTGATTCTACTTCTGGTGTTAGAATCTGGGCAGCATGATCACTGAAGCCTATGAATCGATGATTAATTGCATCCACTATTATTTGAAATATAAGAGATTTCCAGGGCATAGAAGTTGTACAAAAGAAAAAAATTAGGATATCAATATATAAAAAATGTTGAAAGTTTTCTCACCAAAATATCAATGTTCAATCAGTCATAACATAAATGTTCACAAGTTTCTTCTGATTTCACATAACTAATATTGTTTTTAGTGTGAAGAAAGCAACTTTGTGCTTTCCTTTTCTTGAATATCAACAACACTCATCCTAGTGAGTGAATTTTCTCATCTGCAGAAACTTATTCCAGTTTCCCATTTATGTATTTTTTTCAGAATTTTTTATCACATTTCATTTCTATTTTATTCCATTTCCAAGATTGCTCCAATTATTTAAGGATCTGCAAGTGGACTAGTTTTTTTCTTTTGAACCCTCAAAATTTCATAACGGTTTACTTTTTTGGTGCTACAACGTTTTTTACAATGTGATAAATTTTAGGGTTGATAAGACAAATATTCAAAACAGTTGTTTGAATGTATGTACAGGATGCAAGTAGGAGTTTCAAAAGGAAATTCTGTAGAAATAGCATAAAAAATCTGTAAAACTTGTGAAGAAGTGAATAATGTTTATTTCTTTAGAAATACCAAGCCAATCATTGAAGGACTGGTAAAGCCAGAAACTTGCACATAACATTATTAAAGGTATTTTCTCGTTCTGTTTTCCTGCCTCAAAAAAGGTTAAAGGATAAAATTGTATCATGTAGAGACAATACCACCAACACTATACTTTCTTAACAATTTGTACCACATCTTCGTCGTTCAAAACATGATCTTTTCCAACTTTCTGTGGCTGATGTTTTACTGATGATCCCCATACCAAAGCACTAGGGATAAAAACATAATAAGAGTTATGTATAATAGACAGCAAAACAAAAATTTAAATCTTTAACTCAGCACATAATAAACAAACAAAATTTAAATGTACTTACTATTTGAATTCCTTTGCAATTGATCTATGCAATTTGTTACAAAAGTCTTCAACAGTAAGCCTCTCAGAATGGAGCACAACCGGTGATTCATAATCTGGTAACTGACCTTTAGGTTTAGTGTAACTGAAAAATTCACACTATATGTATTAAAATATCATTATATATGAGAAACATACACACATTCATAATTTTAAAACACTGATGAATATTACAACATTAAACATCAAGCTAATTACAAGATAAACTTGAGAGAGAGAGAGAGGGCGAGAGAGAGAGAGAGAGAGGGCGAGAGAGAGAGAGAGAGGGCGAGAGAGAGAGAGAGAGGGCGAGAGAGAGGGAGAGAGAGGGAGAGAGAGAGAGAGAGAGTGAGAGAGTGAGAGAGTGAGTGTGTGTGTGTGTGTGTGTGTGTGTGTGTGTGTGTGTGTGTGAAGTTTGCCTAACATTCTTTTAAATCATTCTGAGGTTTTCACTGAACACTGGACTTGCACCATGTTTATAAGGGAATTTCGGTCTATTGGAACAAAAATTGTAAGAAACAAATTGGTTTTGTGAATATTTTGTGAAAATTTTGCAAGTGTTCTAAGGGCATCATGTAAAGAACTTCTAAAAATTAAAAAATCTGTTTAAATTACATCATTTAAATTGATCAGAAATATCCATTTTTGTGAAAATCCAGTGATTGGTTTAGATACTAGTATTGTAGTTCACTGGCAAATAGTCAAATATGTTTCGAGGAAAAAATAACACTATTTGCCGAATCACGGAGTCACAAAACGTAGAGGGTTTTGCATTTTTGAGAAAGTAATTTAATATGTATAGGAGTACTTAATACATAAGTATTAGGCACCCACAAAACAGTTTTCTGTCAAAATAATTAGCACTTTTCCTAATGAAGCAGATTAGAGGAAATCCAATGACTTAAGATGTACTTTGTTTTATTACCTAGAATACAAGGTTCCAAAGTACTTGTATGTTGCCTGTAAATGCGTAAATTAATAAAAATCTGTCAGTCAAATTATACCTTTTGGAAAAAGTTCATTCAAAACAAGAAGCAGGGAAGTATGGATGTGGTGTCTGCTTACAATATTCATCTCTTGTTACTTATAATAATAATAATAATAATAATAATAATAATAATAATAATAATAATAATAATAATAATAATGACAATAACATTAAAAATAACAATTTTACTAACTGACAGAGTGAATTAATTAAATCAAACATGTTACAATTGTTTAACATATGAAATTTAATATCATTTACATACATTCTGACCAAGCGAAGGTATTCCCACATTTTCTCCAACAGGTCATCAAAGTTCCACTTGTGATGAGCAGATATTGGAACACAGTGAGGAATTTTATAAATAATATCAAGCTCTTCAATGCTTATCTGGTCTGAAGAAAAATCATATATTAAAAATAATGTTTATTCAAAGCCAATGAAAAACAAGATTTTATGGTACTCAACCAATATTATTGCAATTTAAACATTTTGAATTTTTAAATCCTTTGGCTCTCATATGTCATCTAGTTATATATTTGAAGTGATAACTTGTGATGTAATATGTTCATAACAGACTCTAATCCTGAACACCTGTGTTATCACTTTCTGTTTTCATAACTTCACAGATTTATTTAAGTGAAGTGAGGGAAAATGCGTTCTATTAGTGAGTAAAATCATTTTTATTAGCTTAATAATGATTATTATTGAAATTATTATGAATATCATTTTAATAATGTGATAATAAAAAAATTACAATGCATTGGGCTGAATAACCATTCGTATTTTGCAATCATTCTCGTTCACATTTCAGAAACTTTAAAATTAATTTTGTTAACAGCAAGATCAAAATGTAGAAATATCTAATTATTTAAGACCCCATCTAAAGATCAAATATTGAGGCAGTAAATAAGGGTGTAGAATTTCTAATATCATGAGGAGATCTTGCTAGATCACAATCATATACATTATTTTCAACTTAAGCAAAAAGTGAAGCATGGGAAATAGCATGTGCAGATGTAGATTAAAGAATAGGCAAAGCCAGATCAAAAAACGCATGGAAAATAATAAAGAACCTCAGACAAAATGAAAAACAAAATTCCACACTACAACCTAGAAGTATAAATCAATTTAAAATATATTATGAACTTTTGAAAGAAAATGGGCTCACATTTCATATCTCTTATAACAGGGTACACAGAACTGGATAATATGGAATATATTACTATGAGAGAGACAAACTAGTGGTGCTGCCAAAGCACATACTTTCTTGCATCATTTCTAAAAGATCCGCAAAATTACACAACAATATAACCAGCAAGAGTGTTGTCAAGCAGCTAATTATTTTTCCCCTCTGAGTCTCGAAGTCAGAACCTCAGACTTAACATGCCAGCGCTCATACCAGCGCCACATAGTTCAATTCGCACAAAGGAATAAAAAGGTGAATGCACAATTAATGTAAAAAGAAAACCTTCAACAATCAAAATATCTGGTAGAAACTTCCAAAGCTTCCAGTCTGCTAAGATCAATCACGAAATACTAATTTTGGAGAAAATTAGCTGAACAGTTTAAGCGCTAACGCTAACCATAGATGGACAGAGAGTCAATCAGACATTTTGCTGTCAATCAATTTTTCAGTATGAAGAACCAACAAAACTTGGCTTCTGGATACATTATGAGTGAGAGAATTTTGGTTTTAAATTTAGCAACACAATTTTTCCGTTTTTTCACGGCGTTTTCTGGTGCACGATTACATAACTTTCTCTTCTTACAAAGAATTTGTAAGGTGAGAAAGTAATAATAATGTATGAATCGTTAGGAATATCTAAATTAGTTTAATGGCTAGTGTTCATAATGTATTTAAATTTAATGTCCATAGATTCATTAGTTTACTTAAATCCATAAAGATGCACAGAAACTTTACAATTGTTTTGATGTGATATATATTTAACAAATTGCAAAAGAAAATTGAAAAAAAAAAAAAAAAAAAAAAAAAAAAAAAAAAAAAAAAAAAAAAAAAAAAAAAAAAAAAAGTTTCAAAGTTACAAATTGAAAAAGTCTATACAGACACGTTCGGTTTATTTGTGTATGTAAAGATTGCATTTATGATTAGAAATGCTTCCAACGATTTTCAATAAAGTTTCTCAAATCCCTAATAGTTTTTTACAACACCACTTTTGTCAAATTAAAATCCCTGTGTGGGACACAAACCGGCGAGCTCTTGGTTTCAAAAGATGAACCTGAACCTGCCATCAGCCATCCAGGAAGACAAAATCTTTAAACTTGCATATTACCCAAAACACAACTGTTTCAGTTCTCACATTTTGGAGCTGACAAAATGTGAAAAAACAAGTGGGTTAAAAGTTGAAAATTTGAAAATCACACATTTACTTCAAATTTATTTATCTTAATTGATTATATTTGTTAGTCGGATTGCTTCAAATTATTTTCAGTAAGATTTCTGCAATTTTCAATAGTTTTGTTCAGCTGCACAGAACTGTGATAAATAATTATCCGTGAGCAAGGCTCGAACATGTCAACCTTGCCTCTGAAGCACAGAGACAATACACTTTATTAACCAATCTCAGCCAACACGGTTGAAAAGGGGATAGGCACTCCTATAATAGTCAAAAGAGCTTTATGTTTGTACTAGTATTAGGCAGCAGAAAAAAATTGCAGCTCAGATGGCATTACTCAATGCGGTAAATATTTTTTTTCTAGTTAAAAGCAACAGAGAATTGTGACAAATAATTATCTCTGAGCCAGCCTCAAAATAGGAGCCTTTTCCCACAAAACGCTGAGAGAGAACTGGAAATTTAACCACTTCAGACACCTGAGTTACACAGAAAATTGGCACTTTTATAACAGTCATAAGCGCCAAAAGACAACACTTAAATTGATAGTTCATACATTCTACAAATCCAATAAGCATTGTGATAAAAGTTAAAAATTCGAAAATTAGTCACTAACAGTCACTTCTAGTTTATTTATCTTTATTAGTAATATTTGCAATTAGAATTGCTTCAAATGGTTTTCAATATAGTTTGTGAAATCCTCAATTATTTCCTGCGGCAACAGAATTGTCACAAATAATAATTTTTGGCCAAGACTCAAACCAGCCAAAGAGCTGGACCCATACCCACCAATTAGCCACCTCGGCCATCCCATTAGCACACAAGATGAATACTTCTATATAGTAATAAGGGTATGGTGGTTTCTGTTCTAGCATTACAGAAACAAGTAATTTAGAAAATGTTTGTGTGTGTTTG